TCATTCTTTCCTAGAACCATCGCAGAGTGGAACTCGCTGTCACCAAGTACAGTAGGGGCATTGTCAATAGATAGCTTTAAACAAAGTCTAGAGTTAGATGTTCAAGGGTTAGGTGTAACAAGTCGATCGGTGTAATGTAGCCAGCTGCCGCCGCGCCGCATGCCTGTGAAGCTGGTGTGTTACACCAAAAGGCGGTTATACCGGCTATACAGATACAGAAGACGTTGCTGCCTGCCATAACCCTACATAACACGTCGCTGCCTGCTGTCTGTGATAACCGTAGCCAAGAAAAGACGTCGCTGCCTGCCATAAACCTAGCCAAGGCAAGAATCTTGAGACAAGACTTCTGCAGAAAGACCCGAACACTCTCGAAGAACGACAAAGCAAATTGCAGCAATACAGAACTATTCTGAACGAGGAAATTTGTCTGATAATAGCAAAACATATACCGAGTCTCAAAAAAATCTGTCCACCCAAACGCGAGAAACAGCTGCGAACATGAACATTTAAATCTCTCACAAAGCCCTTAATCCGCGCAAGGATGTCTCCTTCCCCGGAGGCAACAAGTAGTTTGTTATAAGGCCACAGCAAGTAAATTTTATGGATGACATCCTCCGCAGACTCCAAATCTAATGCAAGCGGGCGAAAAAAACAAGGCGGGCCGACGAAACAAGGTTCCTACATTTTAAAATTTTCAAAATCATTGTACAAGTGGTTTTGATTCAGTGGGAACATCGCATATACGCAGTCGGCATCACATATCACTGCATCGAAGTAGGAAACAAAACATTAAATCAGAGACTTTTCTTGTCTCCTCTCTTCATAGTTATCTGCCATCCGGCATGGCAACAGACATCTTTGCCCATTTTCGGCATGTTGACCACTGTCAGAAGGCAACAAAATTTCTTGTTGTTTTTGTTCCAAATCAGGCGAAAATTAATACGCGCGTTGATGTCTTCCATAAAAATTCTTGCCGTGGCCTAATATAGCGAGCTGCTGCCATGCAGCGTGCCTGCACTGCAAAGCTACTGCCATGCAGAGGGGGGCTAATACCAACTATACAGATACAAGCACTAATCTTTGCCTGTCGGTATGAATAGAGAAAGCACATGTTAATACAACATGCAGTTTCTAAATGGCTAACCTGTGCATAATATTAGCTATAATTGTTAGTACTACACCTACAACTACAGCTACTTCTAGGATTTGGTTCAAGCCAAGCAGCTACCAGGTTTTAAGGCCTGGCAGGGAGGGAGGTAGTGAATGTCCAGCCCCTAAGCCATAATGGACATTCCCTTGCCGCTGACTTGAACCCTAACTGCCCAAGGATACAGCAAGGTTGGTGATGGTGAATGCAGGTTAGTATAACAAATAACAAAGCTGCTCACCTGGGTATCTAGGTACATAAACAACAGGAGTCCTCTTGCTGATCATAAGGCCAGGCTAAAGAACTTCTCTTTTCAACAGAACTTATAATGTCTGACTCAGTGAAGTCCTTTGGCCTGACAAGAGCTAAAAGTTTGGTGTGCCTTGTGATTATGCAAATGTTGGATACTAAAAGTACAATGAACTACCAGAAGAATCAGATTACTTTTCTAAAAATTACCCATTGATATATAAAAAGGATCTAAAAGCTCTATTATATTTTTGTCTAAAAGTAAAAATTACTTAAACTTTCAATTTAGTACTTGAAAGTTAAAGTAATTACATTTTGACAACTACTTGAGTTAACGTGACTTGTAGGAAGCCTAAAGGGGGACTCCACTTTTCTTTACATAAAGTTGAAGTCCCACAAACTTTATTCAGGATTTTTTCAGGATCTACTTCGAATCTTTATTAAAAATAAACACTTTATCCAATGTGTGTATCCGTTGTGGTGCCTTCTGGTGTCGTCTTCTGGTCTTTACCTAGCTACTTTACTTTCACTTACGGACGAATAAAAGAAATTTCTCGAACGTACATTGCAAGACTGGTGCATAGTTCCATCATTCAATGTCCATTTTATCACTTACAAAATGGACTAAGAAAGTCGACTGAAATTTAAATCTAATACAGCTTTTGATGCCTGACTTCCAAAACATCAATAAATATTCATCTGCAAAACTATTATAAATATATCTCTCTGACTACAGCAATCTTGGATCAAGTGTGTGTGTCTTACAGATCTACATATTGCAATGCTATGCTAGAACCCCTGTACTTTTAGTCAATGTTATCAAAGATCAACACAAGGCACTTAATATGTCCAAAATGTTCCCTACGTTTAACTTAGTAACTGTAAATTCCCCATCAAAGTACATTATGTACACAGTTGAACACTCAAAAGAGTGTCTGATAATCACTAAAGTATCAAATTGAACAAGTAAAAAGTCTGTATTGTTACAAAAGACTGGTTGCCAAATAGTGAAACATTCTAAGCTGCATGATTATAAATTCCAGAAAAGACACATACAGATAGTCATTGAGAAACAGCATGAATTTAAATTCATGAAGACATTAGTGTATATTTTGTTTAAGATTGGAGAGGGAATAGGTTTTCTCAGCTTTAGGTAGAATTGTCTCTTGCCATCCAAAATATGCCTGGTGCGTACTTCAAATGGGAATTTACACTATTACAGTACCGGTATTGCAAGAAACCACACTAACCTGTTTGACAAGCTGTCTTCTTTTCTTGAGCTTGCTTGCTTCAAAGTAAACTGGAAACGGTGACATCGGCCCAAAGGATGATCTGTAAAAAAAAGGAGGATAAACATTAATATATTTCAAATGTGAATTTATGGCATTGCAATAAACCAAAGTATTATACTAACCTGTTTGACAAGCCTTCTTTTCTTCATGCTTGTGTCTTTCAAAACAACCTGGAAACAGCGGCATCAGGCAAAGGGTGATCTGTAAAAAATGGGGAGAGAAACTTTAGTATACATCAGGACAGTTTGCAGCTAGTATTTTCCATCTATTCCAGAATCTGAGTCATAGAATCTGTTGATAGAAGAAAGAAAGTGCATGATTATGAGCACCAAACAACGCAATTTTGTCTCTCTAACCGTCCTGAATTTGTTGCCTCCTTTGTCCCTGAGATGTCTTGGATATCATTTTGTCTTGGATAAGTTGCTGGAAGTTGCTGGATTGGGTGAAAAAGATTACAGTGCAAAAGAGAAACCGTAAAAAAAGCCTAAAAACACGCCAAAAATAACCACAAACCCAAACCTCTGCTTGGAGAGTACGTCAACATGGCCTAATTAGCATAAGAATAGAGCCACATAACTTCCGCATATACCACCTAATGCGAAGTTTTTTAAAGTTTTCCCAAAACAACACCCAAGCCAATGTCAAACCACATGGAAGTTTTCATGCAGAACAATATTAAACTGGTGGCTGTGAAATAACCAGCTATTTGAAACCCAACTAAACAAAAACAACAAATACAACTACGTGCATACTAGTAAGTTTCGTTACACGTGGTACAGTTCAACATATTTAGTTATACGAGACTCTTTTCACCAAATTTTCACAAATTTACCGGATAAAACATACAATTTTCACCTACTACTAGATATATTACTCAGGAATAATATACGCCAAGTTTCCTGAAAATTTTCGAATGTTTTAGTGTTTTTTGTGGCTAGAAATCTCCTAGAACCATAATTTGTGAACGATACTGAATTTCTGCACGACACCGAAATGTTTTCCTCTCCCTTTTTTTACAAAATAACGCCCAATTTGCACAAGTTTTCCGACAAAAACGTTCCCAAACATGTAAACAACAGAATAAAATAGCCCTTACCTGGAAAACTCGGCGATTCGCTGCTCTAAACACGGATTTTCACCGAGGGATTCTTCTCTTCCAAACTCCGGGCCGCCATGCTTCTTCTTCAAAATCCCGGGTCTCTGCCACGATGTATCATGGGTAACATAAATTATAAACACTACTCTCCAAGCAGAGGTTTGGGTTTGGGGTAGGGGTTATTTTTAGCGTGTTTTAAGGCTTTTTATCGGGCTTTTTTTACTGGTGTTTTTTTATCGGGGTTTCTCTTTTGCACTGGAATGGTATGTTTTATCCGGTAAAAAGAGAAACTCCGGTATAAAAGCCTAAAAACACGCTAAAAATACCCCCAAACCCAAACCTCTGCTTGGAGAGTAGTGCCAGCTAGCAACTTGTAGTATAAAGATATGACCAAAATATTCAATTTATCTTTTTTTTCTTCACTTCAAATGTCCTAATTCAAAACATTATTACATTATTATCTATTTTTCAGACTTTTCTTTCAACTTTTCCTCCTTTTTCTGTACTATGTGAAGTTCAATCTATGGTGAATATGTAAATTTAAGGTTAATTTCTATATCTCTGATTTTCTCTATTTGGGTCGACCATATAACTTCTTATTCATTAATAATTAATTCATCCATCCATTCATTCATTCATATAACTTGGTGGGTCAAGCTAATAATTGATGCTTGTCTCAAAGGCAGTGCATTCAAACCTACCCTGAACCTTCAACTTTAGGGTCAGGAGGCGGCTGGAAAGTGTAGAAATTGGCCAGACAGACAGATAACATGTCAGGGGAGTTGGTCTGCACTAAGAAAACAGTTTGGCGCTCCCTTTTTAACTCAATCGTCTGTCTATGTGGCCAATTTCTATTCTTTCTGTAACAGTGGGGGTACCAATTGACCTGGCTGATGGGTCTAGACCTTTTAGCCGAGTGGTTTGAGTGTCAGGATTTGAAGCTAGTGGTCGGGAGGTTGTGGGTTTGAACCCCAGCCCAGAGCCAGGGGTTTTTATCTGTTTCTACATGGTGGAGACTACGCTAAACTACACACACAGAACAACCTTGCACACCCATTCAAACAAACATCACAAAAGCATTCATTCATTCATTCATTCATCAATCCATCCATCCATCCATCCAACCATCCATTCATCGAACCATTCATTCATTCATTCATTCATTCATTCATTCATTCATTCATTCATTCATTCACTCATTCATCACAAAAGCAGACTTGGTGGAAAATTAATCCTCGGTTTTATTAAAATATAAGCAGAGAGTCGAGTAAAACCTGGGTAAAAAGTTTCGTCAATATCAGCAAAAGTTGTACAAAATCGGTATAGTTGATGTGTTGCCATGGTAACCAAAATTTCAGTTCATTGCACAGCGTTGCCATTGGTTACATACAATAAATACAAACTGGAAAAAATTATTGTAACCTGCCAGAAATGAGATTTGGTTGTGTTTTTTTTAATGTTTTTGCAGAGAAAAAAAAAGGAACTTTTAAGAAATAAATACTGCAGGTACATAATAACGTCTCTAATTATGTACAACCTTTCACCCTTCACCTTTGACCCCTCTTCGTCACAACCACTCTTTTTTTTTCACGTCACAAATCGAAAACTTAGAAAATCAACAAGTTCTACCTCTAGACTCTCAAATACAGACTAAATATAACATATATCTCAAAATCCAAGATTGTCAAGTAAAGTAATACATCTGAAGCTCTATTTTAATCTCTTATAATAATCATCATCTCGTATAGAACTTTACATATCAACTACATACTCAAATCAAACACTGTTAGGAAAAAGTCTGTTCCAACAAAGAACAAAAAAAAAAGCGGTGGTATCTTTTGGAGAAGTTTTCTTGAAATTTCTTAAACGTGGCTCAAAAAAAGGATAAACCTTCTTTCTTTCCTTCAACGTGGCTCAAAGAAAGGATTAACCTTCAAATCAAAGGTTGACTGCATTTAGTTTGTGGTCAATCTCAAATGGCTCCGTTTGCGAGGTGTCGCCAAAAAATGTGGCTTTGGAAATTTTTCCCAACAGACTCTTACACAGCAACAAAACATGGAAATCAAATCCTTCGTCTCTCACAAAATAACTTTCTGCAAAATATCAACATTGCATGATTGTGAAATTGCCTGGTAACAAACTAAAGTTAAGTATAATTTTCAAGCTTAAATGTGTACTTATTGAAAATTGCATGTTTACAAACTCATTTGCATGTTGACAAACTCATTTGCATGTTCGTGAAACTTCACAAACTCATTTGCATGTTGACAAAGCATTTACATGTTTGTTCTTCTTCACAAACTCATTTGCATGTTTATGATCTGTCCTTGCAACAAAAGTGCAGAAAACACATTTTTTTTCAATCCTTACATATCTCTTTCCTGCACTGCAAAATTACAAGCAAAAAACTAAACAAAATCACATAGAGAAAGAAAAAAAGGAGATACGTACATTTGTATACATTACTACAATGTATATACTTAAGTATCATCTGCCTATACATACATAATTTATTAGGTACTAATCTCTTTCAAATCAACCAAAATTTCTTTCATGTTTTTTTTTTCAGCGATTAATATTCGACTTCAGGCACTTGAGGTTGATTCACCCTAGATCAGATTACGTCATGCTGTTACCTGATTGGTCATGCAGAATAACCCAGAATCCACCATGCAAATTACCCAGAATGCTTTGAACGTGTCACATGATCAACATTTTGACCTTTCAGACAGAAAAATTCATGTCATTTTCGTAAACCTACTTGCATATATCTTCACATGCTGAAATCCTTTAACTTAAATGGCACCTCTCCTGAGGTGTCGCCAAAAAATCACTTAGAGTACTAGTATATAGATATATATATTGCATATGTTGGTTTATATGTCTGATTGTACTTGATGTAGGAAGTTTTGATATGAATTTTTCTGTCCGAGGTCACAAAACTTTGGTGAGGTCAGGGCAAGAACGTTCTACGACCTTGAAGTGTCCTCTAAATGTTCGCCGACCTCAACTTCAGTCATCTCCAAGGTCGTACTCACTACTTCACATCTTTGCTTAACTTGGAGCACAAGTTTCTTATCCTTAACACCCTGCCACCCCCCACATTCAAGTCCAATCTCCCAATTCCAGTGCATATCAGACCAGAAATGGGTCATTGAACATTCAATATGGGGGGGTTCTTTTTCAGTCTAACATGCCACCCACCACTCTAATACTAATGATTGCCAAGGCCCCAAACCTCTGAATGCTGCCACCTGATTAACAAGGCCCCACACCCCCCAAGCAGCTCCACTGCTGATAGCCATACTGGTTTAACACTATACAAAGAAGCCATGTGGAACGGAGTCTACAGAAACTTTCAAAGTATCTACAATTACTATGTTTTTACGTTAACTTTAAGTCTTGGTCATTTTTATAGCTTATTGCATTGCCCTGTGGTGTTCTGCCATAGAAAGGCCATTTTCACGAGAAGTTAAATCCATGAGAAACAGACCAAACCAAATGGGAGACCATCCAGGGGGTGCAAAATACAGGCATGTCCTGCCATCACATGGTCATCACATGATCATCAAATGTCACTTTTTCATCCAAAACTTTCCATTTCTGATTCAAATTCAAAGCACTTCATGCTGATTGGTCAGACCTAAGCCAATCAGAAGCCTGAATCACACGTGAAAGCAGGCTGCACCTGAAATTGACCCCTGGATGTTCCCCATTGGTCGGCGCATGTCAATATTGCAACTACTACTCTTACATGTAAGTGCACCCCGTAGCGCCCAAACACCCTTCACGTGCACCCCGTATCTTCAGTTTTCACCCCGTATCATATTAAGTCACCGTAGGAAATATAGGCACCCTGGTGATCTGTACATTATGTATAAATCTACGGCCACGAACGTCGTGCTAACTTTACTCTTGTTAAGTTTCTTTTGTCTGTTGTGAAGCAGGCCCATCACACCATGGATATGTTGTTGTTGAATCTGCGACCAGGGAATGTGCTGCCGTGTTCTGTCTTATGCTCTGTTGATGACATCACAACCACCCATCTTGGATGTGGGATTATGGGATGGGGTCATGTAGGGTCGAGGGTCAAGGTTCAAACGGCCCAGCCTTGCAAGTTGGGCGTCGGAACACGGATGAGATATGCATACGGACTGTCGTTGTTGCCTTGTGGTAGGATTGTCTGGAACACAAAGTTCGACGATGTCATTGAAATGGTGGTGATGTCATGAACATGCTGATGATGTCATCGGAGTAGGTGTAGTAGAACGAATGATGCGGTCGGGTGGGTGATGATGTCATCAAATTGGAATATTGACGGGCGAATGGCTCGTGGACCTTTCTCCGTCTTTGCGTGTCTGAAATGGAGAAGAGAAGAAAAGTGTTACGGTGACGACCTTGAGACCAGTATTCCAAGGTCAAATACAGGGATTGTGTGCACAGGATCTGATGATGTCATCAGTTATGCTGCTGATGTAAGAGAAAGAGGACACAGTTAGACAGCTCAGCAGAAGAGAAGGATGCAAATAAAGGCATATACCTCAACAAAGTGAGTTGCAAGGAGCACCGCATACTACTCAGAAAGGAACACCTGCAATAGCTGAATACAACAAAAAGCAGCAAGAAGCTAAAGCTCTTTGCAAGGCTGACAATGCATCTATACATGTAACATGTTTATGTACATAACACACATATTTGAACACACATAAACACATGTGACAATTCTTTTACCTCCAAACAAATTGATTTCGTAGAACTGTGTCACAAATTTATCAACACATCAACATCTACACTGCAGAAAAAGCAATTTTCATAAGCCCAACACACAATGCTGCTATTCAATCAAAATCAGGCAATGCAGTAGCTGTCAAAAACACAACAGGAAGTGCTCAGATCTCACCAAACACAGGAACAGAGCCACCAAAAACAAATTTTGTAAGTCTAACGAAGAAAGAGGTAAAGCCCCCGTCACACATTCAGAACCTTCCCCCAACCAACAGCTGGGAAGATCTAGAGTTAGGCAATGTTCATCAGGAAGCCATATTCGGCTATGTATGACAGGGGCTAATAGGAAAGGGAAATTCAGATGCTCACCTCCCCCATTTTGTTGCGTGCGTACTCGATACGTAACCCCCCACGGTCTGAAGACAGCAGCACATATCCCTGAAGGGCGTTCATGGCCTGGGTCGCACACGGAATGTCCTGGGATAAACACAGAGAATACGTGGGTTAGAGGAGTTGATAATGACCTAAAGTTAGGACCTGGGTCTACACACAAAATAAGGGAAAAATAAATGGATGTGGAATACATGCAGAAGTGTCAAGTGACCTGGGTTGCTAACAGAATATCCCAGGAACAATCAGAGCTACATGGGTAATTAGAAGGGTAAAATAACCTGGGTCTACAAACAAATGTCCTAGGTCAACATATAGGATTTTTTTCTGGTAGTCCATTGGTTGACATATAGAAATACATGTACATGCATGAGTAATACATGTAAGCATGAAAAAGCCTGGGTTATACATGAATTATCATTGGTGATGGTTTATACATAAAGCTGTACAAAACCCTGGGTTACTCAAGAATATCCTTGAGCAAAACATGGAGATATATCTGGGTTCTACATCTGTGTTGACCTGGGTTATAGGTATGCAACCTCTAGGAGCAACTTCTATCAGATTGAGTGTTGTTGAAGCTGGGTGCAGTACTACTGTTCATCTATAGGTGGCACTAGTGACACAGCAGTGTTTGTATTTCCTCAAAGATGAGACCTATTGCTTAGATCCCATCTAAAGGACTGCACCTGTCATTCTGCATGTCAATCTTAATCCACCCATGTGCTGTCAACCTACTCTGTCTATTGTCTCTATACAAACAGACACACAAACCCACTGCACAGCCACCCAAAACAATATTCAAAGACAATTCAAATTCCGCTACTGGATAAACAAATTCTGGACATTTCAAGTGATATCCATCACTCTTCTTCAGAATTCTAAAACAAATTACTGTTGTACCCATAAATAAAAACACCTCCGGAATTTTGGATAGATTTTCCAACAGTTGGAACGATTCAGCGAGACAGGTTCCATCGCCGTGCCGACGGTAGGTCAGAGGTCAGCACAAATGCTGTTCACAGGTCAGTCTGTGACCTTTAGGCTAGAAAAGCAATCAGACTGAGGAGTACAGAGGTCAGCGAACGGCAATCGGGGAATAAATCAAAGAAGTTATGATTCGGGAACAGGAACAAGGTGTCTTTGGGGCAAAAAGAGGTGCATTAGTTGTTTTACATTACATCTTCAATGGAACCAGAAGAACTTTTTGCATAACACACCTGTCCAGCTTTACATGCAAACAATGCAGCTTGGTTATATGTCATGAAAGCTGCATTGTGTTGAAGGAAGATTTCATTGGAAAGATTTTGTATTGTCATCAACAAATAAATCCATAAATCCTTCAAAAGACATTCTACTTGCCTAAGCAAAAAACCTAGACTAAGAATCTTTCTTAGTCCCAACAATAAGAGAATTCCAACTTCAAAACTTTTTTTTTCATCTCAAAACCCAGAACAGAAAACTTATTCCATCACATCTGTATTCCAACCAGCAATATTTCTCCTCTAATCTCCCATCATTCACTCAGAAGGTGAAAGGTCACAGGCATCAAATCTCAGCGGAAGGTCAGAGGTCATTGCCGCGGTAACACCATCATCAGCCAGCAGCCCTACGGGACCCATAATACTCTCCACGGTAATGCCATATAAGGCCGTGGTTACCGTGGCGATATGTCATCGCGCTGGGTCAGATTACATCTGTGGGAAGGAGATTAGGCAGTTTGTCGGTTCTCTGGTTCAATGGAATGTGGACCTGGAACAATTTTCCAAAAATCCAGTAACTCAAGCAACTGGATATGATTTTGTAGTTGCTTGAGTAACTGTTTTTGCCGTATATTATCATCCTTCAGTTCTCTGGTACAAAAAGGAATGAGAAACTGGAACAATTTGCCAACAAAAAACAATTACTCAAGCAACTGGATATGATTTTGGAAATGGTCAGACGTTTCAGGTAGCATCCACTACTTTATTGTATAAGTTGGGTCACTAGAGATCACCAAAGTCTAATAAAAAAAGAAAGAAAGAAAAACATAATCCCAACCTACCGACCCTAATTTTGTCAGGACTGAAACAGGAAACAATAACATATTCGGTCTGTATTTAAAGTTGATGAAAAGTGTTGTAGTATGGGCAGTGTGGTTTTCCTGAAACTTGGGACTGACAGCATTGAATCCCATCTAAAGGACTAGAACCCCTGCTGTATAAAAATCATTAAATTTGTTTAAGGTGGATAACAGGTTGCGAGTCTGAGACCCACACATTTGGGCACCTGTCTTCCCCAGCGGCACCCTAAGTTTTTACAGGACCGAAACAGGAAACACGACATGTTTTTTCCTGGGCCTCACGTCTGACATTTACCTGGATTACGGCTCAGATCCCGTCACACCCTGTTCCGAGGGTCCCACGGTGAGACTGTGACTCCAGGGCGATTGTTTTTGCCGACTCGGCATAAGGAGTTTTTCAGAAGGATTATCTTGAAGAAACTGTTTGCATGACAAGTAGGGTGTACCGTGTCCCGTTGGACCTACCGCAATCAGCGAAACTATTCTCACATTGCCTGGGGGGACGCTATGCACCGTTCCATGCCTGCAAGCCAGATTTTCCATCTTTCCAGCTCTCGCTTGGGATTTTGTAAAAATTCTTCTCGCCAAGAAATGGATTTAGTTTTTCGATGCAACAATTCCCCTTGGTATTTGTGATAAGGGTGGAATTACGTTTGTTCCATTAGGCATGTTACATGGTCTGAGGTTTTGAAATCTCCGTTAATGCTTGTTCAACACAGATTACAAGATTTTGAGCTGTGGAATGATTTACAAGTGATCGTGATGGGCTTTAAGTGTTTTTATTCTTTAATGGCAGCTCTTCAGTTTGAAAAGTTGTCAAATCCAGTTATATCTTTTCAAAAGTGAAGCTATGCAACCTTATTTGCTCAGATAGTTCTCAGATTTTGCGAAGTTCAAATTTAGAAACATTTTATAGTAAAATGAAAGAAAATGGAAGGCTAGGAGGAATGGTTCCAGATGTTTCTATCACTCTTCTTCAGAGTCGCTAAAATGTACTGGCAAAACTAGTCAATACTTACTTTCATACACGACTGGAAAAAAACTGGTTGAAAATGACAAAGTCTTGTAAGAGTCACTGTTAGGTAAGTCAAGTTACAGCTTAACCCAGGGAATCTAACATCCGTGTCCATAATATCACCAGGGTCCATAATATTACCACCTTGAGAAACAGTGTGCTTAAAGATATCTTTACTGCAACATAGTTTTGGTATGCACTCCTGCACACATCAAATGTACATACCTAGGGTATGTTGCAGTAAAAATATCTTTAAGCACACTTTTTCTCAAGGTGGTGATATTATGGACTATGGTGATATTATGGACACAGATGTTTTGATCCACAAACAAACAAACAAATAAACAAACAAAGTTGTTGAAACTCACCGTGAATTCAATAAAACAGACGGGGGATCCCCCCTTGTTGTTGAGTCGCAGGCGGCTGAACCCAGGGAATCTGTAAACAAACAAACAAACAAACAAACAAACATTTATTCATTTCTTTGGCAAATGTTACAGAATATTATATATTACACTGGCTTTCAGGGAGCATAACACATTTTCGAAAGTCAACAATTATAGAGATTGAGTACAACACAGAAACAGTCCAAATTCTCCAAAATATCAAATTATACATAAATAGCATCACAAATAATATTACCCAAAACCAACTACCACATTTTGACACTTTTAACACATCATTTTAATGAATCTGGCTGCTAAATTTCAGGAATGCAAGTACTATAGGTCTGTCCTTGGTGCTGATCTTGTGGTGGTTGTTTTTCATGCTTTCCATACACATGTAACTTACATGTAACTTATGAAGACCTCAGAAACTGTTCTGTTCAAGGAAAAATGACAACGACCAACAGATAAGTGGAAAGTGGTCTCAAATTTTCCCTAATGTTTCATTTAATGAATCTCCAACTTTTCCAAGAAGGTTGTCAAAGCATACACAACTTGTCACAAGTATGCAAATGAGGTTAGAGATCACCATACACATGTCACATGTCCTGACTGTACGTACACAGCATTATGAAATTAGAAACAATGAATTTTAGTGCATAAATATCCAGTATAAGAGTACAAGCACACATGCAGACATGCCACCAGCAGACTAGAGTGCTACGAAGTACTTGGGGGCTGAAAATCAATAAATTAAGTGCATAAATGACAGTTTTCATCATCACAAAGACAAAAGCTTGCAGATGTGAAACATGCAACCTTAGCGTTAGCCTCCACCAGGCCTTCATAAGGAGGTTCGGATGGTAGAAAAATAGGATCTAACTGGCCAGGGGAGTGGGTCCACCATTGAGGAACTTGGAAAATGAAACCTACTGGATAATTTTTTACCACATTTGGGTAAATCTGACTGTTTTTGAACCCTATTTGGGTAAATTTTACTGTTTTTTAACCTTGTTTGTCTCAATTTTCCTGTTTTTGAACCTTGTTTGAGTCAATTTGACTGTTTTTGAACATATTTGGCTTAATTTGGGCAAATTTTACAGTTTTTTTAACCATATTAGGATAAATTTGAGTAGATCTGGTGGAGACTTAACACTTAAAGGCATCGTGTAGTGCAACGTACCTAGAGAAAATGTCCCTTAGCTCATTCTCAGTGGCGTTTGGCCCCAGGTTAGCCACAAACAGGGTTGTGCACGGCGGGTTGGTGCCTGCTGTGCTGAGCGTCAGCGCCCGCGTGAGCCCGGGGGGGACCGCGGCCGTGGGGGGCGGTGCTAGTGACGCGGGGTGGGGGGGAGGTGCGATGGTGGGGTGCTGAGGGTGGTGAGGCACCTGGTGGGTGAGATAAAGAAGAAAAGACGTGCAGAGGTTGGAGTGAGTCGTGTTAGATTTTTAGTGCATTTTATATGACCTTGAAATAACCTTGACACAGCTTGTAGCAAGTGCAGGAGAGAGAATCATTCGTGAGACACCCAGTATGACCTTAAAAAAGCAGGCTGTGACCGTCATGTATCACTATTTTGAATCAGAATGACCTTGAAACAGCAGGCTCCGACCTTCAAGTATCATTACCTTGAACTATAATGACCTTGAATCTGCAGTCTGTGACCTTGAAATATTATTTTTCAAACCAAAATGACCTTGAGTCAGCTGCTCATGACCTTCAAGTATCTTTATTTTGAACTAAAATGACCTTGAATCGGCAGCTTGTGACCTTGAAATCTTATCATTTTGAACCAGAATGACCTTGAAGTATCATTATTTTGAACCAAAATGACCTTGAATCAGACCGTTATAACTTTGAAATATCAATTTCTACATTTTGAAACCAGATGACCTTGAATTAGAAGGCTGTGACCTTGCAATATATTCTATCAAACAAATATCGGGTCGTATCTTTCATGGCCCATGACGAGGTTAGCACTTTTACAACGTGGATCATAAAGTTGATGAAGTTTTACATGGCCGAGATTGGTTTTCAGAAAAGGGATTGCTGTAAATGGGGTTGAAATTGCATTGCCTTTCTCCTGATTCTGTTGGAATACAGTTCAGCATATATCAGCAGGAGCAAATTGTCAGAGTGCCACAAAAATTTTCACAAACTTGAGTTAAAGATGGATTGATTTCAAATTCCCCTCTCAAAATGTAAGAAAAACATTTCTGTAATTTTCATTTCAAATTTGACACAAATAGATTCAAAATTTGCTCTTCCGTGAGAAAAAATCATTTCTGAGGGTAAAAATTTCCTTGGGCCTCCCAACATTAGAATCTACCGTAACAAGTTATTTGGGTGGTCAATGAAACAAGAGCTGTAGCAAGATGAGTTTATACTACTACTGAGCAGTCCTTACCTGTGTATGCAGAGCAGGGTGAGCAAACGGGTGGGCCAGGGCAACTGGTCCCAACTCATACGCTGCCAGACTGGGGTAAAACACAGAAAGGTTTAGTGTTGAACTTAAAACTCAATCAATCGTGCTAACTTCACCTGCAAAGTGAACTCATCAATGTTAATACTGTCTACTTTGTTACATGTAATTCTTGAGTCAATAGAAAAATCATTTTTCAGGGACTGTCACTTTAACATTTGTACAATGTACTTCTCTATCTATGCATCTAAAACAATTGGCAGATCCTATATGTATAACCTCCTTACCACAAGATGTAGACATGCAAAAGAAAAAATTAATTAATGAAAGTCAAAACAAACAAACAAACAAACAACTCACGGGTGGTGGGCCCAGGCCTCGGGCACGCCTGTGAAGAAGGCTCCTCCCAGCTCATCTGTAATAGATCAATTAGCAATCAATCAATCAATCAAATCTATCATGTATCAAATTCATATTGAACAGCAAGAGACCTGAAGATGCTTGTTGACTTCTATCTTTTTTTTGCATGATAATTTTTCTTTGTTATAGTGTCTGTCACCACACATACATCTGCATGTATATCTGTATTGCTCAACTTGTAGAACCACCCTCCAGCATAACACACCAGCTTTAATAGAATTTTACACACTTGCTTTACACTCAGTCTTCACTTCAAATAACTATGGAAATCTGAGATGGCTGATGTTGAAACAAACTATACACAAACAAACAAAATGAAATGAAAACACTCTTATCACCATATTTATTTAGCAATGCCTCAAAAAATGCATCATTTTCATGTCTTTTCTTTCATCAGATATTCTGAATGAGTGTTATCTTTTCAGTATATATGCAGCTCTCAATCTGAAGTGGCTAAATTGTTATAACAAAAAATTTAAACTAACAAAAATGAAATGAAAACACTCTTATCAACATATTTATTTAGCAATGCCTCAAACAATGCATCATTTTCATGTCTTCCCTTTCATCTCAGTAAGTCTTATCCTGTCAGCAAATATCCACCTCTATCCTGCCAAAATCAGACCTGCAATAACCTAAAATCAATGAGAAAACACGGCCCCGGCTCTAGTTCATTGATTGAATTTTATTTTATTGAAGCCAAAACGCCGAAGGCAAGAAACTATCTGACAGCGCAATTTGTCACTCCAGCTATCAGCTACAAGTTCTATGGCAGCAAAGCTACAGGTAGTTTATCAAAACTGGCCTCTTATAGATTTTAAAGGTGCAGACATGTTGTGCTTTTAACCCATCAATTTAATGAATATGTTATCTATATGCCTGAACTATACAGAGCTGTCCTTGGTGCTGATCTTGTGGTGTTATTGTACATGTTTTCCATTCACATACATGTAACTTGTCAGGACCTCAAAAACTAAGTTTTGTTCAAGGAAAAATAACAACCACCACTAGATAAGGAAAAAAACGGACTCAAATTTTCCCCAAAGTCACTCCAGCTATCAGACAACTCAGCTACAAGTTCTATAGCTGCACAGCTACAGGTAGTTTATCAACACTGGCTAGTTATGGATTTTACAAGTGCAGATGGGTTAAAGTGAAGTATTTTGAAGTTCAAGGCCTTAGATGAAAGGAAAGATACAGTTGAAACTTCCCAAATCGTGCAGTGAAAAGGGGAGGTGCCCATCTGTGTTTCCATGTTTTTATTTGTATAACCCTTCACCACTCAGGACTACTATATGTTCAGTATACATGTATGGGTTCAGTCTTGAAAAGGCGTTCAGTTAAAATTTGACCAAAGAAATTCACCATTTCATACATTGTATTTACCTACAAGCACCCAGAACGAAACATCCCCTTGAAAAGGCTTTCAGTTAAATTTAAATTTATGTTAAAATTTGCCTGGACAAATTCACATTTTTAAATTTTCCTACATGCACCTAGTACAAAACATCCCTAAATCTGTTAGAATTTGACAAACTAGGTCACAAGATCAGCACCAAGGACAGGTCCATACAGTTCAGACATATAGATGCATTTTTGAAATGAGAACGTTAGATTCATTTAAAATATGTGTTTATTTTCCTACGTGCCACCAGAACAACACAACTCTTTGAATTGGCCTAAATCAGTTAGAAGATGACAAACTAATGTAGTTTTAGATCCCTCTCCTTTTTTTCTATTTTCTTATATGCATACAGAATGAAACTTCCCTTTCAGATGGTCTTTTCTATTTTACTAGATGCACCCAGACCAAAACATCCCCTTGAACCAGCCTAAATCAGTTAGAAGATGACAAACTAGTTTTAGATCCCCTCTCCAGAAAAATTACAACAATCCCGGAAACTTGACAAACCGGATTTTCCCGGGAAGGTAGTGAGGAACGGTTTTCCGATATCTCCTCCCGGCTTCAGCTTCGATCTATCCAAAACTAATGATGTCAAACGTATGAATAACACAGGAATCCATTTAGGAGTGGCACGGGATCTGGGAACCCTACGGAGTTCAGACAAACTCTCGGGAAAACACTTGACATTTGTGCTACACTTGGAAACTACTGCAAGCTTTGTCCATACATGTACATGTACAGTGGATACTTTGTACCCTGTATATTTTGTTGTGCAATAAAGTTATCTACCAATAACATCAACATTAAAATAAAAAGGAGCAAATGCTGAAATATCTCAACGATGCTCAATTCCTAATATAGCATTAGCAGACAAGCTTTTCTTTAAAACTAATCAAAAGGACGATCTACAACTAAAGAGGGCAGTCACTGACATTTTATCCATCTTGCTACCAAACTTCTCATCAGAAAAGAAATGACCTCACTCTATTTATGACACAAGACAATCAATTTCCAAACCCCATGGCATTTCTGCTACCAGAGAATATGTATTAGTTTCCTAAAGCCTATGCACCTTTGTAATAAAAACTACATGCAGGAAATGTAATATAGAACTTTGCATGGAAATGTGTTTGATTCAAAGGCCAACAAATTGCTTTTTCTTTGAGCACTTTGAAATTGATTTAGAGGCTTGAAATGTTCTTTTTTCACATCAGAAAAATCAGAAAAAAATTAAGTGGGCAGATCCCTGAACCAACAAATCAAATCGGAGTGGCCTATCAAAAAGAAGAAAAATTGGTCTTTTCCCCCACCTATAAATATACATGATTGTACTACAGATCGAGGGGCAAATGTCAGCTGACAGACAAGTTACACCGCCTCCATAACAAAAAATCAATTTTCATCAGCCCCAACATCTCCCCCCATTCCTCACAATCATTCTGTGCTGAGCCAGGTTAAAAATAGATGTCCATGAGGAAGATAGGATGTTATAGGATAGAGGACGGGCTGGGGGATACACACAGGGCTCAAAAGTATGGCCAGCTGCAATCTTCTGATAAACAAAAGTGGCATTGAAGGGAAAAAAAAAAGAAATTTGTCATTTTATAGGTGGAAAATAAAAGAACAAGGCTCAAAAGTATGACCACCTGAAATCTTCTGATAAAAAAGTGGGATTACAGGGAGAAAAAAAGGAAATTTGTTATCTTACACTGTAAGTTATAGGTGGAATACAAGACCTGGGCACGAAATAACCACCAGTTATTTGATGATAAAAAAATGGCTACAAGAATTCAAGCGTTTTGATCATACAATTTTGGATCCTTGCAAATAACCTTGCCAAACAAAACATCAGATAAAAATTCTGGCAGAATGCAAAAGTACAAAATGTAAGTACAAGCCATTTGGCCAAAAATTTATGCATGCAATTTTGTAACAACTTCATTAGAAAGCAAAGATCATCAATTCAAATAAAATTTGGATTGATCACATTTATGTAGTTGCTGCATAATTGCAAACAATTCTACTAAATCTAAGGAAATTCTGGCAGCCTATAACCATCAATATTTCCAGGCCTGGAGCAGTCAATATCTCTAAAAATGAGACCATTACTACACAAGAAAGCCGTTGGCAAGCGGAGCTCATTTCAAGAAATGATTGTCGAAAAATCCAGACATGCCGTCTCAACTGCATGTAATTGTTGTTGATGATGACAGAATGCAAAAGTACAAAATAAGAAAGCCTTTAGGTAGGCAGAGCTCATTTTGAGAAACGATTGCCCAAAAGTCCAGACATGCCGTCTATACCTACTATACAATCATGTTCAATGGAGAAGGGGCAAGAGGTTGAATATTCTCTGAAGCTAAAATAGACTACACAGCTCTGTATGTCTTGTGATTGCATTCAAAGCATAACTCTAATTGAGTTCTTTTTTTCCTAGAAATAATTATTATAATTAGAATTTAAACCAGTGGCTTATAGTTATAGATGTGTAGCCTTGAGTTCAAGTCTAAAGCTAGTAGAACATTTTTTTCCTGTGAGAAGATGAAATGGAATTTTTTTTAGCAAAAGAAATTGATATCTGTGAGTTAAATATCTTACTCCCTTTAAAAATTAAATTTATGACAGATTCGTAAGAATCATTAAATCTTTCCAGCTGCACTCTATAAGTTTAAGATATATACATGTAGTTTATTGGAAAAAATATGATGGATTTTCTTTATGACATAATCTTCTTGCTGAGTTATGCCTCCAATTAAGTAACAGCAACTTTTCACCTGACAGTATTTCATATGATTTTCAGCAATTATAACTATACAACTTATATTATAAGTAATAAGAAGTATTATATGTGATATATTTCAAATTGGCATAAAGCCCCAAATGTCAAGTTGATCAATTAACATCCGTGTCCATAATATCACCACCTTGAGAAATAGTGTGCTGAAAGATATTTTTACTGCAACATACTTTTGGTATGCACTCCTTCACACATCAAATGTACATACATAGGGTATGTTGCAGTAAAAATATCTTAAAGCACACTTTTTCTCAAGGTGGCGATAGTATGGACCCTGGTGATATTATCGACACAGATGTTATACTAATTTACAAAATGTCTTCTTCAAATTCAAAATGTTTGGTAGAGTTTGGTACTGAGCTCAGTACAAAGGAATACAGAGGATGGCTCTATTCTATGATGAATATCAATAATATTTCTCAGTGTTTCTCATTCATCCCTGTAATAAATGCATGGCGATCCCTCCATCACTTCCTGACAGTCCTGACATGAGTCTGCTGGGAATAATCAGGGGATCGAATCTGTTCATCCTCCATTTTCAAATCAATTCATGTGTCCTGCTGGAATAACTTAGCTGGAAAACGATGAATAAAACGAATATCCCTGTTGACGATTGATAGCAAATTTAGGGCATCCACGGGACAGTCTTGGTTGAGTTGTACAAATCACTACTTCAATGTACAAAATTCAACTATTTGCATGTGACAGTCGAGACGTAGACAGCAAATTTGGACATACTTGGTACAGTTGTAAGTGAGTTGTACAAAATTCAGTCTTCAAACAACGTAAAAGT